AGACTCCATCTTTCAACAAATGAGCTGTTAAAATTAAAGCTTTCGAAAAATGCATATTTAAAAAAAAAAAAATCTGGATTTTGTCTTCCATTCTGGGCAGATGTAGGAGGTATTGTTTTCATTTAGAAAAGATATAGCAAAACAATAGTATTAGTTATGCTCTCCCACTCTCTTCCCAACACAAAACACATTTCTTTTTCATCATAATATCTTCTTTCCTTATATTTTCTTTTTCCCAAGGAAAATTAAACAAGGGAGAATGAACAAATCAGGAAAAATTTGTGCTTGATGTTTCCACTTAAAAACTTGCAAAATATACACTTGTGAAACAGCAATGTAATCATATTTTTTCTTTCTTTTTGAACTTTAAAAAATTAATGACTTCCATTGAAATACTTACAATTTTTTGTTTCATTTTTTTTTCTCATTTCTAGCAACAGATTTTACAATAATTTTAAACTACACAATAGCCCAAACAAAGTCTGATGCAAGGTCAAAAATGGACCGTAATCTCCTCATTAGCCACACAGTTTATGTTCACAGCAATATCCATACCTTTGGTGATCAGGCCCAGTCAGCATGGGTTTATCCAAGGCAGGTCCTGTTTGACCAACCTCATCTCCTTCTATGATGACGTGTCCAGAGAAAGGCAATGGTGCTGGTAAAGGGTCTAGAGAACAAGTCTTATGAAGTGTGGCTGAGGGAACTGGGGCTATTTAGCATAGAGAAAAGGAGGATGAAGGGACATCTTATTGCTCTCTATAACAACCTCAAAGAAGTTTGTGGCAAGGTGAGGATCAGTCTCTTCTCCCAAGCAAAGAGTGATAGGACAAGAGGAAGTGGCCTCAAGTTGAGCCAGGAAGGTTTAGGTTGGACACTAGGAGAAATTTCTTCACTGAAAGGGCTGTGAGGCATTGGAAGTGGTTGAGTTGCCATCCCTGGAGTTACTCAAAAGACACGTAGATATGGTCTAGTGGTGTACTTGGCAGTGCTAGGTTAATGGTTGGACTTGAATATCTTGGAGATATTTTCCAACCTAAAAGATGCTATGATTCTATACTTGCTTGATTTTACTTCTTTGCCAGGGCTCAGTGCCAGCTGTGTTGCTCTGTATTCAGGGAGCCAAGCCAGGACCTGGGGAGACCCCACCACACTTGCTCTCACTGATGGGACACCATTCTGAAGGCTCCAGGGTGACACGGCCAGGGATGAGCTGAGTCCAGGGTCTAGATGGGCCCAGTTGGGAGCACCAGAAGACAGGGCTGCAGTGTAGGTCCAAGGTCTGTCCAGGAGGAAGGGCCCAAGGCAGGGATGGAGAGGAGCTGGGGCAGAGCTAGACAGGGCAATGTGGCCGGAGCTGGGTTGGAGCACCTGGTCCATTGGCAGAGGTGGGTGGGGGTCCCCAGTGAGGTGCTTGGGGTTACCATGACCTACAAGTGCCCTCAAGGTGCCTGACAATTTACTCAAGATGATAAAACAATGCTGTTGTCTATCTCGTTAAGATGACCCATAGCATTTACTTTTGCTGCTTTTGCTGTAGAAAACCAGAGGGAAAAAAATCCAAATTGCCTCTGCCCTGGCCATGAAATGCAATGCTCCATCTGTCATGAAGTTAGAGCTAGATTCCCTGAGGTTTCAGTATATTAAGACCAGGATTTAGGTTTAGGCCTATTTCTCTTTTATCTCTTGACTTCTCTTCAAGGGCTGTCCTGAGTTGGGAAAAGGGAAAAAAAAAAAAAAAAAAAAAAAAGGAAAAAGAAACTCTCAGAAGTTACCCAACCTCAATCTGAATTCACATCTAGTCACACTGCCCTCTAATTTTTCCACTCCATTCTTTGAAACCCCTTCCTTCCCTCTTCACATGAAATAGTCTAATAAATTCATTGTTCATCTATTCTTTTTTTTTTTTCTGCTACACTGCACCACTTCACACCTGCCACCTTCCGAATGAATAGCCCTTTCGGGTAAAAGTTAGAAAAGGAATCAGAGAAAGAAAAGGACGTGATGTGGGGAAGGATCTCAAGCATTTCAGTCATGCTAATACAGCATGGAGCATAATCAGGGGCTGCCAGGGAAGAGCTGATTAATAACAAGAGGAATATAAGACTTAATTTCACAGACACACATTATTTCTTGCACAGATTTAAAATTTAGGGCTGAGGACTGCAGAGCAGTAGTTAAGGGAGCAGAACGACCTGTAAAACAGACAGAGGTTATAGCTACTTATTGACAGCACAATCATTGTATGCCATTATAAAGCAACCGAACAGAGTGATAAAAACTCATCCGTCACATATCCAAGGCCATAGCCCCTGCGTTAGGATTATATTGAAGGTGAGATATGATGATGCCACAGTGTTTCCAATTTTTATTGACATCCTGGCCTTGAGGATTAGGAGGTGTCAGAATGCATCTGTGTATTCAGAGGAAGACAATAATACCCACTGCTCTATCCCAGTTGTACTTAACAGCTTACTTGGACTGCGGTGCAGGTGAAAATGAGAAAAGCAAAGGAATGCCACATCAGCATATTGGCAGTCCAAACAGGACCGGGCAGACCGGAGTCATCTGCAGCGCGTGGACCAGAAATCCAATTATTAAGCAGGTGACAGTGCAGCACGACCCCAATTCACCATAGTAGGTGTTGCATATGCGCGTAATGCAAGCAGTCTTTGACCCACAGGGCTCGAAATACCAATTTTAGAGGACAAACAACAGGTGAACGTTAAAAAAAGATGGTGGAGTGCGATGTATCAGTATGACAGCACGGACCTAAGCATAGAGCAGCATCAACTCACTGGCTGCTTGCAGGATTCCTGAGCATCACAAGCATTAAGGCAAGTTTTAAGGAGGGTACCAAATAGGGCAAAGGAGGAAAGCAGCTGCGCTGAAACAACTTGCTCAGGTGAAGATCATGTCACTCTGCTACTAAATATTATCTCCATGTTTTGCTAATTGCATTTGGTTTTTAGTATTTTTCACTTCAAGATTCCCATCAGAGTTGTTTGCAATACTCAAAGGCTCACCCTCCACTTTCTTTCACTATGGCACACCTCAGGGACACTGGAGACATCAGTGCGCACATTTACATATTGCCCATCCTCTCCAGAGACCATGACTGGCATATGCCCTTCATAAAGAAATCAAAATATGGGTTTAAATTACCTGCACACAGCCATTAGCAGGGCCAAGCACTGATGTATGAGTCCTGCCCACCAGTTCTGAGTTAAAATCATTTGACCATGCTCCCTCTTGAAGGCTGGGGCTTGGTAATTATTTTCTGCTTGTAATTACTCCAAGCCTTGTGCTTCTTTGCACATTAACACAGTCCACGTGGAAAGAGTAAGCTGAGACACTTTGCTCAGGACTATCATTGCTGAATAGGCTTGGGTAACACAACTCATTAGTTTTTGTCTGATGTCAGAACTGATGAATGCCTTTTTCCCTTGAAAAATTTGTAATGAGCAGAGAAAGCACAACAACATAAATCTACCATGGTGACAATGACTGTGGCCAGAATCAGGAACGGCTGATGCTGAACCAAAGTTTGCACGAGCCCTTGCACTCATTCCTCTTTGAAACTCATGTCCTAGTGCTGGCGGAGATCTGCACCATCCTCTGGTTACCTGGCAAGGTAAAAAAATAACCTTATTGACTCCAAAGGCCTCAGTGTTAAAAAAAAAAAAAAAAAAAAAAAGCAAGTTTAACTGTGCATTGGGACATTAATTTTAAAGACTACTTCAAAGGTGTGCAAGCACGCTGCATGACCCAGAGCAGTCAGTTTTCTTCTGTTCTTTGAGGAAATTGCTAACCCGATTTCAATCCTGCAGATAAAAGTATTTTTATAGTTCCAAAAAGTCTCCCTTTCAAGTAGGGTTTAAGCACAATGATGGGAAAGCCTGTCTTAAGATTGTGACTACAGAATTCATCCTTGCCTGCTTCATCTGTGCATTTAATATATATATATATATATATATATATATATGACATAGTTAGTAACTTTCTTTTTAATCTCCAAATGGAGACTGAATAAAGTTAGTCCCAGTGAAACAAGTCCCTGGGATTTTGGCAAAAAGTTTAACAGGGGGACCAGAAAGTCTGTCATTTCTAGCTAGAAAACTGCCTGCTGAAGCAACATTTGCGTTACTCTTCTAATATCAAACACCCTTCTCCCAGCAGTGGTTGGTGTGCAGCACATGAAATGCTGTGCTATGCTCTAGCAGGTTTTGAGGCCAGGTC